AGCTATCCTGAACCCAGAATCGATACGGTTATTCTAAATATAGCGCTGGTTGATTAAGGTTGGAGGAGTTACCTCCCTTGTTGGCAACCAATTAGAGATTGTAACACATGAGTATAACAATGCCTACTATCCGAGAGCTCAAGCAGATTGCGAGAGAACGAGGTGTAGTGGGTTACTCCCGAATGAGGAATCCCTCCCACAGTAAAACAACTAAAACTCCGAGCGAAAGAGCTGGGGCTGACGGGTTATTCTCGTATGAGGAAAGCCGACCTAATCGAATGACTGAACGACCCCGTACGTCCCCACACTGTCAAACAACTCAAACAGAAAGCCCGAGAGCTGGGGTTAGTAGGTTATTCTCGTATGAGGAAGCCAGAGCTAGTCAAACTATTGCATCATCATAGAGCTGTTGATCTACAGTTCATGCGCACTGAGCGCGCTGTAGGTAAATACCTGAGAGGCTGGCGCATGCTTGTTGATAAGAACATAGACATCACCGACATCAAGCCTATAATCACTGATAAAGTTAATGAGGAACTAAACGATTTGGGAAGTATAAAGTTTCAAATCACAGTGAAAATGTCACTCGATAAACAGCAGAATGGGGCCATTGAGTACGTTCAGCCTTACTTCCGAGGTAAACATGAAGTCGTGACTCATACCGAGACTATAGACGAGTCAATCGATATCAGTTTTCAGCAGATACGAGAATACCTAGAACGCTACACGCACATGGGTTCCGGGTGGGTCGTGGATAAAATCGATAAGGTCTATCTAGACATAGCTAACTACGTACCGTACCTAGACTTACCCCCCTACTATAAGAAAAAACAGGCCATAGTCAACATCAAGAAAAGAGGAGACGATTGCATGAGGTTAGCTATCAGGTCAGCCTTGTTTCCAGCTGACACTAATTCGAACAGGCCTTCTAGCTATCCCCAAGACGATGGGCTCAACTGGGATGGTATAGACGAACCCACCCCCATATCCCAGATCACTAAAATAGAAAAACAGAATGATATAGCTATTAACGTCTTAGGACACAAAGGCAACACAATGGTCGTGCACAGGGTCAGTCCAATAAAGGGTCGCCGCGTGATCAATATATTCATGATCCAGCGAGGTGATAAGCATCACTACGTGGATAAAACACCTCAGCAGGCTGTTGCACGACCAGTCGAAAACACGTTGGGAAAAACACTTTTGCGCATCACGATGCCTACACGGCTTCACACGAGCTGATTTATTAGAATCCCACCGGGAGGATTGCGAAGGTGTGGGGCAGACGGCCATACGAATCAACATGCCCAAGGAAGGCGACAATATCCTAAAATTCGCCAACCACAAGAATCAGATGCCCGTGCCTTACATCATCTACGCCAACTTCGAAGCCTTGATTAAAAACGTTGACATCGGGCCGACCCCCAACACACACAAAACACAGGAGCAAGAGGCCTTTGGGTTTGGATACGTGGTTGTCCGATGTGATGGGGAAACGAAAGCTCCCGTAGTGTACAGGGGTCCCGACGCGGCTGAAAAGTTTCTAAAGTGCTTGCAGGAGGAAGAGAAAACTATCAGGAATGCACTGTACACTGTCGCTCCCATGCGTATGACTCAAGCCGACCGGCGAGCTCACGGCTGCAGCACTCACTGTCACGTCTGCGATAAACCACTGAACGGCAATTCGGTGAGAGATCACTGCCATGTCACCGGTAAGTTAAGAGGCGCCGCTCACAGCGCGTGCAACCTCAAGCTCAGAATCAACCTGACGTGCATCCCCAACAACATGGAGAGATACATCTCCTTCTCCCTGAACGGCCTGAGGTTCATCGACTCGGTTCAGTTCCTCCTGTTGTCACTCGACAGTCTGGTCAAGGCCAACGATACCTTCTCCATCACTGATCGATACACCGACGCTGAGGCTCGACCCCTGCTGATGATGAAGGGTGTGTACCCCTACGAGTACATGGATGGCTGGGCCAAGTTCGCCGAGACCCGACTGCCTCCCATCAGCCGATTTTACAGCAACCTGACCGACTCGACAATCACCCAAGACGATTACTCGCACGCGATTAACCTATGGAATAAACTGGGCTGGAAGAATCTGGGTGACTACCACGACCTGTACTTGAGAACAGACGTACTCCTGCTAGCCGACGTGTTCGAGACGTTTAGGAGGACGTGTTTTAAGCAGTATCAACTCGACCCCGCATGGTACTACACCAGCCCAGGTCTATCTTGGGATGCCTTGCTGAAGAAAACCGGAGTTAAGCTGGAATTGCTCACCGATTACGACATGCACCTGTTCATTGAGAAAGGCTTGCGAGGTGGGATTTCCATGGCCTCTAAACGCTATGCGAAAGCCAACAATGAGTACGTGAAGGGCTACGACTCGAGCAAGCCAACCACTCACATCCTCTACCTCGATGCCAACAACCTGTACGGCTGGGCCATGAGCCAGTATCTACCCACAGGGGGGTTCGAATGGGCATCACCCGAGATCGATGTTATGAGTATCTACGGATTGAAAAAAAAGGCTATATCCTCGGCGTGGACTTGAATACCCCAAGGCATTGCACATCGCGACAACAGCTACCCCTGGCCCCGAACGTTTCAGGGTTAACCCGACTGGATGTCCGAGAGTACCAACATAACTTGCTGGGTGGGCGGGTGGCAGACGTTGAAAAACTCGTGCCCAACTTAATGAATAAGACCAAGTACATCGTTCACTATCGCAACCTGCAGCTATACCTGTCGTTGGGTATGAGGCTGACCAAAATACACAGGGTGCTCGTGTTCAACCAGAGCCCCTGGATGGAGCCCTACACCAGAATGAACATGGACCTGCGAAAGCTGGCCACCAGTGACTTCGAGAAAAACCTCTACGAATTCATGAACAACTCGGTGTTCGGTAAGACGATGGAGAACCTGAGGAAACGCGTGACCGTGAAGCTAGTCCGGTCGAAAGAGGAAGATAAGCTCAGGAAACTGATAGCCAGCCCGGCATTCAACCGGAGCAAGATATTCACCGACGACCTGGTGGCCCTGCACATGAAGAAAAGCCACATCAAATTCAACCGGCCTGTTTATGTGGGGATGAGCATCCTCGATTTATCCAAACACCTGATGTATGACTTTTACTACAACGACTTGAAGAAACAGTACGGCGACAGGTGCGAAGTGCTGTACACGGACACGGATTCCCTGCTGATGGAGATTCGAACCGAGGACGTGTACGAGGACATGGTAAAACACATCCATTTATACGACACCAGTGACTACCCCAAGGGCCATACCATGCACAGCACGGTTAACAAAAAGGTCCTCGGTAAGATGAAGGACGAGTGTGCTGGCACGCCCATAGCAGAGTACATAGGCTTGAGGCCCAAGATGTACTCCATCCTGAAAGCCGACAATAGCGAGATCCGGAAGGCGAAGGGTGTCAAGAAGTACGTGGTGAAACAACACATCAAACACGCAAGTACCGTGTCACAACTGCTAGCCAAACACAATACCAAGGTCAGGCGTGGTCCATCGCAGCCAAGCCATAGTCGAGAGATTCAATCGGACTTTGGCCGAGCGCTTATTCGGGTACCAGTATGCGAGAGAGATGGTCAACCCGGGGAAACGATCGATGGAATGGGTAGTGCGGCTACCTCAGGTGGTGTCAGCTATCAACCACGAAACCACCCGTCTCACCGGCAAGAAACCAGCCGACGCTATCAAACTGAAATCAGTGATAGCTGAACCGGCTGCACCATCGCGTGGGAAGGAGAAACAGATACCCGATAGGGCCCTCGTAAGGTACCTCTACCAGCCGGGGGAACACGAAGGGGACACTCGGAAACGAGCCACCGATCCGATATGGTCAGTCAAAACTTACAACATAGATAAAGTAGACATCAAAGCTGACAAGCCGAACTTGTACTACTTGAGAGATGGGCCAGGGAGAGGTTTCGTTAGAGAGGAATTATTAGTCATACCGTACAGCACAATGTTGCCACCCAAGCAAAATATTTAACACTTACCTTGTCGGGTAATCTTAATGGTATCCTGTCAACACGACATAGTGCTATCACATAATCAGGAAAGTGCTAGTTCGCGGCCAAAGTGACCAGGAAGTTAACTGGGGATTCAAAAGTAGTATATACGGCGAGATCTAAGGGCCTGATAAAAGCTTTATTTATGAAATAAAGCTTTACAGAGGCTTTTGTTGGACTTGGTCTCGGACAATCATTTTATATACTACTGTTTGCTTTACCCAGTCAGTAGTGCTGGAACACCAAAGGATTTGTTTCGGACTTTTTGAGTTTAGTGAGGGTAAGCAGGGATACTCTACAAAGTCTCCCTGGGGTAAGATCGACCCGTGGTTTCACCATCTTCCAGGGTGGTGAAGACAGGAGTCGGTAAGGTGCTATGATATTGAGATCAATTTTAGCTATAGGTAGAACTTCAATTTGTCATTTACTGTAACAGATGGTAAATTCAGTTTTACATATTTCAAAAAGAAATTGTGCACTTTTTTAGGTGTGAACAAATTGTGCTTTTTTGGTTTTAAGTGTAAGCAATCCAAGGTATGCTCTTGACTGAGTGCCCTCTGTGGCAAAGGTGAATGTTAATCAAGTGAATGATGACAAATACACAGGTGTAAGGTTTACACCATAAAACATGGAGTAGTAGAACAGAAATTGTTGTATTACATGAAATATGCATGAAATTTTGCTTTACCCAGTCAGTAGTGATGACTTAAGAGGATTCCCTTCTTGTCAACCAGGTCCTACCCCACTGGTCCAGAGCCCAGTTTGTTGGGTTGCTGATGATGACTGACATCTTGTGATTACCGGGGATAACTGACATGGTGCTGGCTAGATAACTTGGAATTTCAGTGTTGTGTCTCTGTAAATTTGGACTCAAAGCTGCCCTAGACCCAACTTACTTATTATAATGATTTCTAACTCTCAAAGCATAATATTGGATATCAATAAACAACAAACAACATGTTACATATGTCAACAAATTTATATCTTTGATGGTTTTAACATACTCAATGCAGTACTAACAAATCTGTACATTGGATGATGTCCAATCCTTAACACTTCATAAAATAGTCATATGAAAGCTAAAGAGTACATTATCAACAGGTATACTGCATAATTGTACTATACACAAAGTATATACATGATAAAGGTAATCGTGCCTGTTTCAATAGATTCTCACTCTAGGCATATGTCACTCGTTCCCTTATACACTCTATCTTAGCATACAGAAACAGAGCCATGTTGACATGATTATATGACATGTATTTATAATGCAAGTCAACAGTTACCAACAGTTGAAGTAGACAAACAAAATACTGTGCCAGGAGCCAGTGTGTGCTACTTTACTCCACAAATATATTCATAATCAATAGTTTCATGAGTATGAAACTGACTATAAGGATGCTCATTTGAAGTTCAGTGAATACCATAGGTCTTCATACTTACTGAATACATAATGAGATTTTAATGGCCTGTAGGGTAAATATAAGCGACTGAAAATCCTTTGACCATAAAAGCAACCCCATGAAGTTCATCCTTTGTACCCAGTCACATCTCTTGCTATTATTCACTATTCAGTAGGCTCGATGTACAGTCCCTTATTATATCATAAACAACTCTGTCTATTCCAACACTCTTTCCTAGCCCATGTACAAATCCACTATATATGGTCATTACAGCAACAGTCACCTTCTTTCTTTCCTAGGAACACAACAGAGAAGAAGCTGCACATAATGTACGCCCCTCCTCACCACAGTAAGTATATACACATGATGATAGATTAACCACAAGCGTTTATCATGCTTGAGTCACATTTAGTGGAACTTCCTGCCTAAATCAGAGTAACATGATTGTCCAAACAAGTTATACTGTGTACAAGAAATGATATTCGAGAATATTTCTCAAAATATTATGTGATCCTTTTTCAATATACTTGTTGCATATGCTGTTAAGATATTGACTACTGAGACACATCTTAAGGATATCTATGATTTCTGTCAAGTTCATGTACACACTTGGAACATTTGCTTTTCTTATTGACAGACAAACTTGATTGACAGTTACTATTTGCCTGCTTTATCAACCTTTCTCATAACCAGATACATGCCAAGTTCTTTATTATTGTTCTATAAATGGCAAATAAAGATTAAAGCAAACAAACAACAGAAACATACTAGGCAATATATAATTACATCAGAATAATTGAATATCAGTTTGTTTTTAAGCACAAGCAAGTATCATAAGAAAGCTTTCAGAATATATCAATTGGTTGCAGAAATTAGCTTGATTTCAGTATTACCTTAAACAAGATACCTTCTGTTGTATAAATACCGGTAAACACAACTGTTCTTGCATCTCATACTACTATCAGCAAGTTTAAGACAACAGTTTAAATATAACGATGTTTCAAGGTGTTTATTGATCATTTCTCACAAAACCTGAACTAAAACCCCTTCATGAAAACTGTCTGCTAAGTGAGCATAACAGTCGGGTTCAAACATGCAAAAACAACCACTCCTGCATGAGTGCCAAATTTCATATATTTTCATTTTAATAATGTTGCACAATCTAACAAGTGAAAGGTCCAGTTTAAAAACTTACATATGTTTAACAAACACTTTATCACAGTTTATACTCTATCAGTTCTATTTCATGTACACAGAGGTTCAAAAACTTCTAAATCGAAGCATGTCATGCACATAAATGCAAACATTTAAAAGAATTTTCTAATAATCTGTAACTGTTCATTGCTTGATAGGAATATGAAAAATAAATATTTTTGTCAATTTGGATCTGAGCCACTGGTCAGTTTTTTCTGAGGAAATGATATTTTTGATGTGGGGAAATACTTGCTAGGAGGTAAAGGGAAACCAATAAATAAGAAAGGTCAAATAAATTTTAAAATCTAAAATATCACAAGAAGTGAAACATATGACACTAAGTACATGTCTTAATTTTACAGCAACAAATTGGTAGGTAATTCCAACTAAAAACAGCGATCAGCTTCATCTCTGCAATGGTTTCAAAGAAGAAATTGATGCAGAAATGGGTGCAGAATGGGTGGAGACAACCAACAAATTACACATATGACAAATTCAATTACAGTTTGAGTGAGTGAGTGAGTATGGTTTTACGCCGCTTTTAGCAATATTCCAGCAATATCACGACGGGGTACACCAGAAATGGGCTTCAAACATTGTGCCGATGTGGGGAATCGAACTCGGGTCTTCGACATGACTAGCCATCGCTTTAACCATTAGGCTACCCCACCGCCCCTCAGTTACAGTTTGAACAAACAGACATTGTTTCTTAATAAGGCTACCATGTTGGCCATATAAAAATCAGATTTGAATCTTGACAGAAGATGTGAAATGGATGAACAGGCTACAACATAAATATTTGACAGGTACAGTTGATTGATTGATTGATGTGATTCAAACAGAACTATGAACATATGACATACTCCACCATGTAGCGAAAGTATACAGCAAAAATCTTCCTCTCAATAACATGCCATGGACTGGCAGGGATGTAAACAAAATAATTTGTATAGCCTTAAACAAACTTCGCTCACTAATAGAATATTGTGGGGGAAAATATAATCTTGTGTGTGATGCATTCATGCTTCAGCCATTACATTTGCCCACTATTTATACTTTCTGTGAGTCAGAGATTGTTACAATATCATTTGGCAATGTATCTCCAGTAAATGTTATGTACATTATATTTACTATTCAACACATGAGAAACAGTTTCATTTTTTCCTTCATATTTGGCTTCCAAAGGATAGAAACTCAAGTATTGTTGCCATTTGTGGCTGGTGGCTAAGTGCAATACGCTGAAGTTTTGCCCATACTAATAATTGAACGAACAGTATATTGACTAAGTATCTTTGTCAAGATGAGCTGAACAGAGCAACAAGTAATGACTAGCATAGCACTATGAAATGGCCATAACTGGAAATGTTTGCCAAAGCTTATGAATTTCTATATATTGAATTTGACTAATGTCTTACCAGTCTGATAAAAAATACACATATTATATTAAGTATAAAATAGTCACATCTTCATGGGCTGCTTATAATAGACAATCAACAAATACTAATATTGGCACTGTTGACATAAATTCTAAACTTATGACAATAGCATACCATCTTGAAATTGTGTGAAGATGATTTCCATCTTACATTGATAATGACTAAACAATGGTGTTGTAATTTATGTGTTGCTTTATTGTCTAGTGGTAGCAGGCTGGAATCAGTGTAGGTCATCCTGATGACCTGTGTCCAGAGGGGGAGGGGCATCTGGCATTGTCATCTTGGTTCCTGCCGTCAAGTAGCCAGCCACACTGGGGCCAGTAGGTCCTGGAACAGAAATAACTTAGCATTTCAAACACTGTATCCATCATTAACATAAGACACATTATAAAGTTACGTACTTCAAAAGCAGGATTGCACACCTTGACAAGGTAGTAACTGATGTCACATGTAACACTTGAGTAGTTGACCAGCACACCTTCACAAGGTAGTAACTGATGTCACATGTAACACTTGAGTAGTTGATCAGCACACCTTGACAGGGTAGTAACTGATGTCACATGTAACACTTGAGTAGTTGATCAGCACACCTTCACAAGGTAGTAACTGATGTCACATGTAACACTTGACTAGCTGACCAGCACACCTTGACAGGGTAGTAACTGATGTCATATGTAACACTTGAGTAGCTGACCAGCACACCTTCACAGGGTAGTAACTGATGTCACATGTAACACTTGAGTAGCTGACCAGCACACCTTCACAGGGTAGTAACTGATGTCATATGTAACACTTGAGTAGTTGACCAGCACACCTTGACAGGGTAGTAACTGATGTCACATGTAACACTTGAGTAGCTGACCAGCACACCTTGACAGGGTAGTAACTGATGTCACATGTAACACTTGAGTAGTTGACCAGCACACCTCCACAGGGTAGTAACTGATGTCACATGTAACACTTGACTAGCTGACCAGCACACCTTCACAGGGTAGTAACTGATGTCACATGTAACACTTGAGTAACTGAGCTGACTAGCTGACCAGCACACCTTCACAGGGTAGTAACTGATGTCATATGTAACACTTGAGTAGTTGACCAGCACACCTTCACAGGGTAGTAACTGATGTCACATGTAACACTTGAGTAGCTGACCAGCACACCTTCACAGGGTAGTAACTGATGTCATATGTAACACTTGAGTAGCTGACCAGCACACCTTCACAGGGTAGTAACTGATGTCACATGTAACACTTGAGTAGCTGACCAGCACACCTTCACAGGGTAGTAACTGATGTCACATGTAACACTTGGGTAGCTGACCAGCACACCATGACAGGGTAGTAACTGATGTCACATGTAACACTTGACTAGCTGACCAGCACACCTTGACAGGGTAGTAACTGATGTCACATGTAACACTTGAGTAGCTGACCAGCACACCTTGACAGGGTAGTAACTGATGTCATATGTAACACTTGAGTAGCTGACCAGCACACCATGACAGGGTAGTAACTGATGTCATATGTAACACTTGACTAGCTGACCAGCACACCTTCACAGGGTAGTAACTGATGTCACATGTAACACTTGAGTAGCTGACCAGCACACCTTCACAGGGTAGTAACTGATGTCACATGTAACACTTGAGTAGCTGACCAGTGACAGGGTAGTAACTGATGTCACATGTAACACTTGACTAGCTGACCAGCACACCTTCACAGGGTAGTAACTGATGTCACATGTAACACTTGAGTAGTTGACCAGCACACCTCACAGGGTAGTAACTGATGTCACATGTAACACTTGACTAGCTGACCAGCACACCTTCACAGGGTAGTAACTGATGTCACATGTAACACTTGAGTAGCTGACCAGCACACCTTGACAGGGTAGTAACTGATGTCACATGTAACACTTGAGTAGCTGACCAGCACACCTTCACAGGGTAGTAACTGATGTCACATGTAACACTTGAGTAGCTGACCAGCACACCTTGACAGGGTAGTAACTGATGTCATATGTAACACTTGAGTAGCTGACCAGCACACCTTGACAGGGTAGTAACTGATGTCATATGTAACACTTGAGTAGCTGACCAGCACACCTTGACAGGGTAGTAACTGATGTCACATGTAACACTTGAGTAGCTGACCAGCACACCTTGACAGGGTAGTAACTGATGTCATATGTAACACTTGGGTAGCTGACCAGCACACCTTGACAGGGTAGTAACTGATGTCACATGTAACACTTGAGTAGTTGACCAGCACACCATGACAGGGTAGTAACTGATGTCACATGTAACACTTGAGTAGCTGACCAGCACACCTTCACAGGGTAGTAACTGATGTCACATGTAACACTTGAGTAGTTGACCAGCACACCTTGACAGGGTAGTAACTGATGTCATATGTAACACTTGAGTAGTTGACCAGCACACCTTGACAGGGTAGTAACTGATGTCATATGTAACACTTGAGTAGCTGACCAGCACACCTTGACAGGGTAGTAACTGATGTCACATGTAACACTTGAGTAGCTGACCAGCACACCTTGACAGGGTAGTAACTGATGTCATATGTAACACTTGAGTAGCTGACCAGCACACCTTGACAGGGTAGTAACTGATGTCACATGTAACACTTGAGTAGCTGACCAGCACACCTTGACAGGGTAGTAACTGATGTCATATGTAACACTTGAGTAGCTGACCAGCACACCTTGACAGGGTAGTAACTGATGTCATATGTAACACTTGAGTAGCTGACCAGCACACCTTCACAGGGTAGTAACTGATGTCACATGTAACACTTGAGTAGTTGACCAGCACACCTTGACAGGGTAGTAACTGATGTCATATGTAACACTTGAGCTGACCAGCACAGCTGACCAGCACACCTTCACAGGGTAGTAACTGATGTCATATGTAACACTTGAGTAGCTGACCAGCACACCATGACAGGGTAGTAACTGATGTCATATGTAACACTTGAGTAGTTGACCAGCACACCTCCACAGGGTAGTAACTGATGTCACATGTAACACTTGAGTAGCTGACCAGCACACCATGACAGGGTAGTAACTGATGTCATATGTAACACTTGGGTAGCTGACCAGCACACCTTGACAGGGTAGTAACTGATGTCACATGTAACACTTGGGTAGCTGACCAGCACACCTTGACAGGGTAGTAACTGATGTCACATGTAACACTTGAGTAGCTGACCAGCACACCTTGACAGGGTAGTAACTGATGTCACATGTAACACTTGAGTAGCTGACCAGCACACCTTCACAGGGTAGTAACTGATGTCACATGTAACACTTGAGTAGCTGACCAGCACACCTTCACAGGGTAGTAACTGATGTCATATGTAACACTTGAGTAGCTGACCAGCACACACAGGGTAGTAACTGATGTCACTTGACCAGCACACCTTGACAGGGTAGTAACTGATGTCACTTGAGTATGTAACACTTTAGTAACTGATGTCATAGTAACACTGACCAGCACACCTCCACAGGGTAGTAACTGATGTCACATGTAACACTTGAGTAGCTGACCAGCACACCTTGACAGGGTAGTAACTGATGTCATATGTAACACTTGAGTAGCTGACCAGCACACCTTCACAGGGTAGTAACTGATGTCATATGTAACACTTGTAGCTGACCAGCACACCTTCACAGGGTAGTAACTGATGTCACATGTAACACTTGAGTAGCTGACCAGCACACCTTGACAGGGTAGTAACTGATGTCATATGTAACACTTGAGTAGTTGACCAGCACACCTTCACAGGGTAGTAACTGATGTCATATGTAACACTTGAGTAGTTGACCAGCACACCTTGACAGGGTAGTAACTGATGTCATATGTAACACTTGAGTAGCTGACCAGCACACCTTGACAGGGTAGTAACTGATGTCACATGTAACACTTGGAGTAGCTGACCAGCTGACAGGGTAGTAACTGATGTCACATGTAACACTTGAGTAGCTGACCAGCACACCTTGACAGGGTAGTAACTGATGTCACATGTAACACTTGAGTAGTTGACCAGCACACCTTGACAGGGTAGTAACTGATGTCATATGTAACACTTGGGTAGCTGACCAGCACACCTTGACAGGGTAGTAACTGATGTCATATGTAACACTTGAGTAGCTGACCAGCACACCTCCACAGGGTAGTAACTGATGTCACATGTAACACTTGAGTAGCTGACCAGCACACCTTGACAGGGTAGTAACTGATGTCATATGTAACACTTGAGTAGCTGACCAGCACACCTTGACAGGGTAGTAACTGATGTCACATGTAACACTTGAGTAGCTGACCAGCACACCTTGACAGGGTAGTAACTGATGTCATATGTAACACTTGAGTAGCTGACCAGCACACCTTGACAGGGTAGTAACTGATGTCACATGTAACACTTGAGTAGTTGACCAGCACACCTTGACAGGGTAGTAACTGATGTCATATGTAACACTTGAGTAGCTGACCAGCACACCTTGACAGGGTAGTAACTGATGTCATATGTAACACTTGAGTAGCTGACCAGCACACCTTGACAGGGTAGTAACTGATGTCACATGTAACACTTGAGTAGCTGACCAGCACACCTTGACAGGGTAGTAACTGATGTCACATGTAACACTTGAGTAGCTGACCAGCACACCATGACAGGGTAGTAACTGATGTCATATGTAACACTTGAGTAGCTGACCAGCACACCTTGACAGGGTAGTAACTGATGTCATATGTAACACTTGAGTAGTTGACCAGCACACCTTGACAGGGTAGTAACTGATGTCATATGTAACACTTGAGTAGCTGACCAGCACACCTCCACAGGGTAGTAACTGATGTCACATGTAACACTTGAGTAGCTGACCAGCACACCTTGACAGGGTAGTAACTGATGTCATATGTAACACTTGAGTAGCTGACCAGCACACCTTGACAGGGTAGTAACTGATGTCATATGTAACACTTGGGTAGCTGACCAGCACACCTTGACAGGGTAGTAACTGATGTCATATGTAACACTTGAGTAGTTGACCAGCACACCTCCACAGGGTAGTAACTGATGTCACATGTAACACTTGAGTAGTTGACCAGCACACTTTGACAGGGTAGTAACTGATGTCATATGTAACACTTGAGTAGTTGACCAGCACACCTTCACAGGGTAGTAACTGATGTCACATGTAACACTTGAGTAGTTGACCAGCACACCTTGACAGGGTAGTAACTGATGTCACATGTAACACTTGAGTAGCTGACCAGCACACCTTGACAGGGTAGTAACTGATGT